CATTATTTCATGGAAAAGTAAGAAACAGGATGTAATAGCTAGATCAACCGCGGAAGCCGACTATAGGGCAATGGCATCACTAACATGTGAACTTATATGGGTGAAACAATTCCTTCAAGAGGTTAAATTTTGTGATATCCATACATGAAGATGTATTGCGACAATCAAGCTGCTCTCCACATTGCATCAAATCCAGTGTTTCACTAGAGGACTAAACATATAAAAATTGATTGTCATTTTGTTTGTGAAAAGTTGTTGACTAAAGAAATATGTACTGAGTTTATTGGGTCAAAAGATCAACTCTCAGATGTATTGACCGAGTCATTAAGGGTCCTCGGATTGAGTTTATTTGTTCCAATCTTGGTACATACAATTTGTATACTCTAGCTTGAGGGAGAGTGTTAGGATATTTATCCTATTTTATCATCATTATAGTGTGTCAAATGTTACCCTATTTATCATGATTATAGTGTTAAGGGTTACCCTATTTATCATGATTATATTGTGTCTAGGATTACCCTATTTATCATGATTATATTGTGTCCAGGGTTATTCTATTTATCATGTACTTTTGTATCAATTTATTCTTATAAATAGAAGAATGTTAGAGGGATCAATCAAGCCCTCTAGAATTATTTTACAGTTTAATTCTCAAGTGGAGATAATTCTAACCATTAAGGTGATTGTTATCAAGCAAGTGCAGAAGATCGGCATTGTTTAGTGGAGTTGCCATGACAAAAATAAATAATAGGAATTCCTTAGCCCTCTCCTAAGTGAAAATGAAAGGTAAGACAGAAAGCTCCAGTGATGGCAACAGAAATGGCACCAGTGACAGCAGTTGCGATGGCAGCTGCGCAACAGCGGCTGTGATGGCAGCAGCACAACAACAGTGGTGATGCAGCAGCTACAGCTCTGGGGAAAGCTCCGACGACAACTCCAGTGAGTGGCAACAGATGGGGGCAGCAACAATGAAAAAACCGCAACTTGGGAGCACTTCAGGCAACTCCCAATAATTAAAAGAAATGGCTATACTTCAGGCAACACTAACAAAAACCATAACTAAGACGGGAAAGAAGAAATGTTGATGCAGGGCTTCCTAGATCAGAAGCTCTGATACCAATTTGAAAGGATTAATTCGAAAGAAAAAATATTCTTATTTTTGTTAATTGATTTGAAACAGTACATCAACTCCTATATATAGAAAACTTAAACCATAAAATAATAATTACAAGAGGTCTCTAGAATCTTCTAACAATTTCTAGTAATAAATTTAATATCCTACCAATAACTTTTAGTATTGCATTTAATATCCAACTAACAACACATAGCACGGCCAAACTGACTTGCCCAAATCATTTGCAGCAATTAGGTCTCTACATCCTAAAATTTCCCAAAACAGAAATCTTTCAAAGATCAGAGATTTGAATATTTCGAGGCACATTGATTTCATGCTGGTGGGGTTTGATCACAGGTTAATTCCATTACAACATCAAAACAAGATAGAGCATGATGCAACTAATATACCAGCACAGGAAAGAAAAGCTTCACATTTCATCGAACTGCAATGAGGTAATGTGAAAACGGGACATAAAGGAAAGGGTTATCTGTTTTTTCCCTGAAACAAAAATGACCACCTAACAGTTTGAAGCCCCTAAAGCACATCAACTTGTAAAAAGTAGAAAAATTAGATCAAATGTATATAATGCAAATGAAATAAAAATTAAAAATACAAAAGGGATAAAATTGTATCAGCCAAATTTTGGTGCTAGGATTGTCTACAGATACTCTTCAGAGTCAAAAGTGATTTGTAATTTGAAGACCAAACTCATGGTTGAAACCTGATCAATTGTCTACACACCCCAATCTTTGTCTTGTTCTCCATATGAAATAGAATTATTTGCCGAATACCTCAAATCAAACAAAGTTGGGTCTCTATAAAATCTAAGTAGGTTTACTCTTTTTACAAGTTTTACTTTACTGGTTTAATTTAAGTTAAATTACATAGTAGCATGGCAGAATCTAAAATATGCTAATTATAAATCAAAACCACGATGCTATAGGCAAACAGATACATGCATGTGTGTAAAGGACAACCTTATGACTGAAACAAAAAGAAACTAGATTATTAGATTATCATAATAAACCAGACCAAAATATCAAGTCATGAAACCTTATAAAATGGTTGTAAGCCATTATTAGAACCAATCCCTTATATCTGAGTGTACAAAAACCGAGTATAACTTAAAAAACCAGGTACACCTTAAACCATGTTTAGTCTCGCTTAAAACAAGGTGGCGATTTTGAAATTATTGATGAACATATCAATTGAAAAGTAAAACATAAGGCAAGGAACCTAAAAGTTTATAGTCGGGAACAATATGTCCTCCTAAAACAGTAAACTCAAAAGTAACAACTAAGCAAAACTCTTCAAACAGAATTAGAACAAAATTTGCAATGACAACTAAAATAGAGGAATAATATCATCAACATTTGAAGACCATCCAATAGTCTTAACATTGAATAGTATAAACCGCCCATCGTCAACAGCCCAGAGAAGGGTTTACATATGCCAAAATAATCTATCAGAAAACCAATAAAAAAAATACATAAAGCCCATCCCAAATTAAACATAGAACTCCCTTGTTCAATCAAGCAAGCCTGTTCATGTTTTATGTTAAGTTCATTCAAAGCAAACTTCAACTAGTAGCCGTTTCATCAATTAAACATTCCGTTACCAGCAACAAACACTACAAAAAGTAATTAAACACAAAATACCATTTCGGTTCCTCAAAGGTAATGTTCGGGATACTATCAGACATTAAATGTATAAACTTCCCCCAGGCAAGAATTTCCAAACATTAATTTATCAATTCGCGAAGGGTTAGCCTCTTCCTCTTCCCTAAGACTTAACTCGGTTCTCAAGGGCTGGCATCTATCCCTAATTCTCCATGTCAACTTTTTTCCAGAAAAATCAATTAAATGAAAAAAAGGTAAAAAAAAAGTGTTTTTGTTCCTACCCTTTGAACTTCCACTCCTAATCCAGACACTTTACATATACATTTGCATTACCATTCTGAAAAGTAAGAAAAACCCGACAATCAAAACCTCATCTAACCTGAGAGAACCCCCAGTAGAATTAATAAATAGCTTTATATCCTTAGTGGGGTCTTGGGCATCCAACAGAAGCAACTGACTCATAACAGCATCAGCCACAAAGTCATCGATGCTGCTCCCAAGGAATACGATTCTCTCCCTCAGCAACAACCCCATCACGTCGCCATCCGCCCCTCTCGCGGCCGTCGCTGGCGTCTGCGGCGCGGATAGCTGGAAAGAGAGACTGGGGTTTGGAGAGTCGGACCCAAAGTTTAGGCTTTTAGAGGAAATTGGCGAGGCCGAGACGCGGCATCGTGGTGGGGTTTTAATGGGTTTGGAAAAGCGCGAAAATGAGAAAGAGGGTTTTGGGGCGAAAGAGGAAATGGGAAGTTTAGGGTTTTGGGAAAGGGTGCGAAGGGAAGGTGAAGGGTGAGAGGGAGAAATTGAGAGCAAATCCATGGTGTGAAGTGTGAAAGAGTGATGGAGAAGTGCAGAGGGAAGTCTCAGAAAGTGGTGGCTACTTCCTTGGTTAGATAACACAATTTTATTTATTTTTTAACTCCAAATGCTTTGCTTTTGAAATATTATTATTATTTTTTAAAGGTTTAATCATTAGGTACTAATTTTGGTAAGATGTCTCATGTTTTTAGTTTCTTTTTTTCTCAATTAGATTTTTATTTTCAAAAAAATAAAACAATTAGGTTTTTTTTATACTAATACCATTAAAAGAGTTTACACGTGATAATTCCTGATTTTTTGAATTTTTTTTATTATTTTTTATTTATTTTAAATAAATTTAAAAATATTACGTGTCAAACTAATATGATGTCATGTGACAATGATAGTATAACATGGCACTGACAGTATCAATAGGTTGGACAAATCAAACTAAACTGTACTAAACTATAACTAACTATATTATACTAAACTAAAAGAAACTGAATTATTTAGGATAGGCTTAATTAACGCCATTTGTACGGATTTAACGGAAGAGATTTCATTGATACAAATTTTATTAAGTGAGGACGTAATTGACGCATTTTTTAAAGGATTGACTAATTTAACATTTTCAAACGAAACTGGAGACAAAATAGGGTATTAAGCCCATAGGATAATAACTGAACTGAACTGTTTTATATTTTAATTTTAAAAAACTGAACTTATATAGTTAACTAATAACTATACTAAATCAATACATTGCTATTTATATACACTGAGAACATGTTGAAACACAATTCATTACAATTATTTCATGGGTTATATTATTTTGAAATCTAACAAATTTTTACGTACATTTTCCGATCTTGCTTATATATTAATAATATTGAATATTTGTAATATAGAGAAAATTCTGTGCATGCACCTGATACACAAAATAGAAGAATATATATATTTGTATTATATTTTATAATTATTTTCTCATACACAAATTTTTATCTTTTTATTTTACAAATATATTTAGTTTTATTAATTTACAAATAATTACCAATTCATAATTACAATTTAATAAAATTTAGTTCTTTTAAAATATATAATGAATTTTAGTATGAATTTAATAATATTATTTTATTTTAATAATTATTATATTAACTTTTTAAACAACTTTTAAAAACAGTTATTTATTTATTTATCCATATATATATTTAGTTTTATTAAATTACAAAATAATTATCGATTCATAATTACAATTTAATAAAATTTAGTTCTTTTAAAATATTTAATGAATTTTAGTTTAAATTTAATAATATTATTTTATTATAATAATTATTATAGTTAACGTATAAACTCTAAAAAAGTTATTTATTTATTTGTCCATATTATTTATATATATATAGTCTAAAAGATAGTTCGAACATATTTTTGTTTCTTATTTTTTTATGTTGCTGAAATAAAAAAGCAAAAGCAAGTAAAAGTTTCAAATCAAAACCTAAAACACAGTTTAGAGTTTAAAACAGTTAATTATACTCTTAGTAGAAAAAGTTTAATTTTTCTAAACTGCACTAAAGAGCAGTATAATTCAGTTTTTATAAAAACAGTTTAGTGTTTATAGTACAAAATAGCATAGATTATCTATAGTTTACTATAACTAAGTTAATTATGTCCAGCCTTAAGTATCACGTATCACTGTTAGGTCACATGTTATTGCATTAGTCTCAGTTTGATTCTTGTATTTTTATTTTATCTCTATTTGGTCCCTCTATTTTTATTTTGTCTCACTTTAGTCCTAATTTTAAAAATTAAACAATTTTGTCCATCTCCAAATTCAAACAAAATTTAAATTGTATACAAATCTTAACAAATATGTTTATTAAAATTGATATTTTTATTAAATATTTTTAACAAGATTAAGTTTGTTTATATTTTTATTTAATTAATTATATAAATATTAATTATGTTCTTTTTAATAAGAGTTAAAATAGAACAATGACATAACATGATGGTGTAAATTTTCTAAATGATTGAGCTCACTTAACAAATAATTGATGTGAAATTTTACTTTAATTTCTAAATAAAAAATTGGAGAAAATTTTCGTGAAAACGATAACTAAAGGTGGTTTCTTCTTTCATGATTTTCTATGAAAACTTTTTCCACGAAAATTCACACTAGCATGTTATGTTACTCTTTTTAAAACTCTTATAGGTATATTTTTAAATAACATAATTAAACTTAGGCTTAATAGCTTATTTTGTTCTCAGTTTTGGTGAGTTGTGTCAATTAGGTCCCTCCTTTTAAAAAAGTGTCAATTGCATCCTCACATGGTAAAATTTCCCCCAATCAAGTCCCTTCCGTTAAAACTCACTAACACTGCTAACTTTTTATTCTCTCTCTCCTTTGTCTCTCTACAATGCAGCAGACCTTTTTGTCAAAATTATCACTACCTCAAAAGGATCCTGAAACCTTAATAAAAGCATATTGTCTTCAACATTCTATGTTCTAACTCCCTACAGCTATCACCATTGTCTTCTCTCTCTCCCTCTCTTTGAATCATAATCACTTCTCACAATCACTTCCTTACCCATCCCAACTACCAACATGGTTGATGCTGCCCTCTGGATTCCCTCACACTTCCTTATAGTCCACGACCATCACATCAACAACGTCCACTTCCACGCCCTTTTCGCCTTTTCTTATGAGTTCCACTACGGCCTTGGGCTCTCTTCTCCGCCGATCGAATCTCTGGCCAGCTCCACAGAGATCGAAAGCAGTAACGACGAAGAGGACTTCTTCGTCTCACTCACTCGTCAACTTAGTCAGTCCTCGCTTAACGAAACTAGTAAACACCTCTCTACGCTACCCATTCAACCCGACAATGGAACATTCTCGGAGATTCCGAGGAAGACTTAGGGTTTAGTCGAGTCCCCACACTCCACGCTTACCAGATTGGGGAGCTGGTCGGGTTGAAGTGTCGGTTCCGACGACGGAAGCCCGAACGGGTACTTGTGCGTTCCTTCTCCCTCGATGACTCCATTTGACAAAAACAACGACCCCTGGGAAGCTATATACGTTGTCGCCGAACAAGTCGCAAGGTTGAAGATAAACAACCACCATGGTTCCTTATTTTCCTTATCGCATTGATATACACTCTGTTTTACTCCTATTACCGGTCTTATGCAGGGTTTCTAATAATGACTGATGTTTTGTTGGTTCCATAGGTTGCGAGACCGAAGCAGCAGTGTGGTTCGGTTTAGGGAAGGCCAACTAAGCATAACTGAGTCGTTCATTAACAACAAGTTCAGGTTCAAAACAAAGCGCGTGAGTTTGGCCATGAGAGTGTGAATGTGAAATGCACTCGTCCTACATGTTTTCCCCAATCTGCATGGTCCCCTTGTCAAGTTCAGCAACAAAACAATCGGATGCAGTTTGGCGGATCCGGGTCTTGGGTTACTGTAGGTACGGGTGGATCTTCTGTGAAAAGGGGATGCGGCGGAACTGGGGTGTTCTTGCCTCATCATTATGAAACAACCCCTTCTGAACCTCGCAAGAAATCTGGTGAGGGGTTATTTGCTTTTACTTGTACCTTTCTCTCTCTTGCCTATTCTCTGTATATCTCGGGTTTTTTGGTGTTTGATTTTGTCTTATGGTGTGCTTTTAACCTGGTCAGGCTCTGCTCCTATGGACTTACTCAAAGAGGCTCTAACAGAAAAGCTCATTAACGAAATAGTATGACTCCATAAAAAAGGACGAAAAAAATAACACTAACAGAAAGGTCTGTTGCGTTGTAGAGAAACAGAGGAGAGAGAATAAAAAGTTAACATCGTTTGAGTTTTAACGGAAGGAACTTAATTGAGGAAAATTTTACCAAGTGAGGATGCAATTGACACTTTTTTAAAAGGAGAGACCTAATTGATACAACTCACCAAAACTGGGGACAAAATAAGCTATTAAGCCTTAAACTTAATCTTGTAAAAAATATTTAATAAAAATATCAATTTTAATAAAAATATTTGTTAATATTTACATACAATTTAAATTTTGTTTGAATTTGAAGAGGAGAAAAATTATTTAATTTTTAAAATTAAGACTAAATTGAGATAAAATAAAAATACAAGATTCAAATTGAGACACAATAAAAATACAGGGACCAAATTGAGACTAATGCAATGACATGCGACCTGACAATGATACGTGGCACTATTAGTGCCATGTAACACCATCTTGGTCATGTGGCACAATATCAGTTTGACATGTGACATTTTAAATTTTAATTTTAAAAAATTAAAAAATAATTAAAATTTTTGAAAAAACCAAGAACTAACACGTATCACCTCCTTTAACGTTGTTAGTTCGGAACTAAGACACTGACCTAATTGCTTTAATTTTTCAAAAATAGGGACCAACAAAAAGAATAACTAAGAATCTAACTGAGACTTCTCAACAAAATTAGAAACCTCATATTAAACCTTTATTAAATATACTAACTTTTGTGTTTTTTTTTTAAGATTCATGAGTAATTAATTCTCCCTTGCCTTATTAATTATAGAAAAAAAGAATTGTATCGGTAAAAGGGGAACTAAAATTCAATTTTTTTTTTGAAAACGATGTTTATTTAGTGTTTAATCTATATTAAAAAATAACTCTTTCTTATAAGGAAAACTTAGTTTAAAAATTCTTGCTTCTAACCAGAGCATATGGCATTTCACGGAAAGTTTTATCTGTTTTTTTTGTTCATAGATGTTTGGTTTTCATTTTTATTTTATACATAAGATGAGATGTTTGATTTGTTATTTAATGTTTCTATGGAACAAAATGTCAACGTATCAATTCACCTATGTTGAAACATTTTAAATATCTCTATTTGAATATTGGAAGAATGTTTGAGACACTATTTTCAATGCATTGAGGAAAAAATAATCTAAGAATTTGAAAATTAACTTTTAAGTCACTAGTAGAAAAAGTGGTTACTGACGCGCCATATAGGCTTCGGTTAAGAAAAAACTGAAGCGTACATATGTATATACCTTAGTTTAGAGAAATCCGAGGTGGAAGGGGCATATTGCATCGGTTAGTTGCAGAACTGATGCCTATACCTCTGCAT